TCTACGAGCAACGTCGTCGGGAAGACTTCAAACTTCCGGGTACACACACGTCTGATATGATTCACGAGGTTTATAGGGATTAGTGCTGCCATCTGATCATCGACGAACGTATGATAAAGAAGAAGTACATAAACAGTAGGGCCTAAGACACGAGAATATGAAGAAAAAGAAGAAAAACGGCGTCGAATGGAGTCATCGAGGAAAAAAGAGACTGTATGAAAAGTACAAGCCCGGCAGTGGACACCCGTGTATCTTTTTGGAAACGGAGGGATACTGAAAATGGCGACAAATCGTCGGATAACGCGCACGTCCGTATGAACGTCGACGGGTGTACGACATGGATGAATCTTTTAGAGAAAAAAAAAAGCGGATAACTTAGCATCGATGGAGCATTCCGTTAGATGTCTTGTGATATCAGAGAAAAAAATATTCATATAGGCATCCCTTTAAGTAAAGGAGCAAAAGAACACTGCGCTAGATTGGCACGCCCTTGTTAAGAGTTTAAAAAAAAAGAATTAAAAAATGCAATGTAGTCACGATTAAAAAAAAAAATAAATAAATAAGAGCGGTATTATAAATGTTATACTGATGCAGAAGTTTAAGAATCGATAACGAGAATATATCATTCGCAGTCGACACACACGAAAGAAAAACGTATTTACAGATAGACGTCTCGTGACACCTACAGTCTTACATAGAAACTTCTTAATTGTTAATTAAAGAAAAAAAATAACAATGAAACGAGAAAATCAGTACGCTAGATTGGCACGCCCTAAAAGTTATTCATAACGCGACAGAGAGGGAGTGAGCGAGAATGAGAGAGAGAGCATAATAAAAAGAACATTAAAGAAATTTAAAAAATGACAAAAAAAAAACAGCAAAAAAGAATAAGAATACAGAAGTAATGGAAACGCGTTTACAGTACTCATTATTATTCTTATTACAAGTAATGTCGTTCGGTTCGAGTCTTTAAAATCCGAGTAGCTGTCGAAGAAGCCAGAAGTCGCATCGTGTAGATATTCTAGTAGTTTGTGAGTCTCTGCATGAGAGCTGCTACGCGAATGAAGAGAACGGGCCAGGATTGGACTGCAAAAAAAAGAAAGCTGAAAATGAGAATGCGAAAGGAAGAAAAGAGAAGAAAGAAGAAAGGTATTAGACGCGCGGGGGCAGCACGGGGAACGAAGGCGGCAAACAGACAGTATAATAAGTAACTATCAACTGAATCACTACCAACGGAAGAGAATACATAAACTAGATAAACGAAGAAACAAAGAAGAAGACGGACATAGTAAGAATAAGAGAAGATACACGTTGTTTAAGTTGCGCGCGAGCAAATGCTAAAGCGGTAGTCACGGTTTTGGGAGCCACTGAACTGGACAACCTGCGTACCACCGACGAAACTGGACAAATAAATTACGGAAATGTTATTGATTAAAAGAAAAGAAGAAAAGAAGAAAAGACGAGCTAAGTAGACATGCAAGAATTCGAAATAATTGCGCTACTCTGGGGGCTATGTGGTTTCCATGGGTGAGGGCGCTATGATAGTCGAGGTAACAGGATATTAAAAAATGCTAGTAGAGGATGGTAATGATGTAGGAAAAGCACAGAGTGGAAACGAGAAAAAAATACAGACAGATGAAAAACAGTAAAAAAAAACATTCTTACTTAGGCGAAACTAAAAGTAAAGGAAAAAAAAGGTATAAATTCATTCTCTTAGTTTCTTCATAGGTTTAAAAACGCCAGCGGGACAGCTCGCTATAAATCATATTGACCCCCGAACGCAGAACGCCCTGTACCACCAACCCGCGGTCTGTCGTGTGTATGTGTGTGTCAGTATCGAAACAACGCCCCTTCGAATTTTGTAGGAGCAACAACAAGCCACCACCAACAATACAAAAAGAAAAATCTAAAAAAAATGAACAAAACGAACGAAGGTGACTTAAAATGCCTGCCACGCGACTTTTCGGGCCGGGACGATCCGAGACGTGCGATCATATCAGGTCTTATTTCGAGCTTCTTCGATGTGAAAAAAAACGCATACCAACAAAAATTCGTTTTCGTTTCTCTTTTTGCCTATATATCAATTTTGAATCCTTGTTGCTCGCTTTCGCGGCTTTTCGATGTGTACGCGCGCGCATGCGCTGGCAACGTCGGTGAAGAGGGCGCTTCGTTTCGAGCGGAGAACCGGGGCGGAGCGTAGGTAATGACAAACTCGTTTGTCAAATAAATTTCATCGTCGTTTGCCATAATTGCGACGATACCCCGAAATCAACGAACAGCCTCGATGTGTTTACCACGTTCTCTGGTTCCTCTGTTCCGCGCGAATCAAGGCGAACGGACCGTCGAGGATTCAGGTAGACGAAGGGTGACGCTCGCTCGGCGGCCCTGGCCCCAAAACTACCCTAAGTGTTCAATAATCGAGGTGTTCTCGAGGTGCCGTACACGCGTAACACGTTCTTCGCTTGCCAATCCCGCCGAATTTTACCATGTTCGCGAATATAAGAAAGAAATATATATTCCAAGGGCTACGACTTTCCTCCAGCCCTTCCGATGAATTTTCTCTGTTGTGCGCGCGAGGGGCTGGTTGAATTATTCGGTCCCGTTCACAAACACGTAACAACCATGTTGAATTTTGAATAATCAAATTCAATCAAAAAAATTCGGTAGGACCGGCGAAGCTTTAACCGAATCGTTTTTTGAGACACGTGGATCGTCATTTAAATCCAACTGATAACTCTTTGAAAGAAACCGGGACAGGAAAGAAAAAAGTGAGAAGGAGAAACAGATAGAGGGCAGCAGTGTACCGCCGCGTTGCTCGTCGAACTCGAACTTTGATTACACACCGACAAAAAAGTACATACGAAATGATCACATTAAAAAAACGTCCCCAGTTCTCTTCTTCTTCGCGGAAGAGGAAGATGCTCGAAAATTGTCGAAATAAAAAACATGAATCAGTCGTTACAGTGCTAGATGTTGAGAAGCAAAGAGATGTTCAATGTTATGCCAGTTAATTCCGTTTTTCATGGTGTTTCTTGGTTTCACGTTGCGGGACAGTGTATACCGATAGCTCCGTGTGTGTGTTATCTAGAAAGATCGATCATTCCTGTCACAACGAAATCGAACCAAACAAAAAGATAAGGAAAGAAAAACAAAAAATGGGAAACAGATTGCCTTCAGCGGATCCCCGTGTTTTGAGATAGGACGCGAACGAAAAGAAGAAAGATAGAATCGGAAAGAAGAGAGATCGAGGAGTGATAGCGAGGTATAAGCATGGCGGTAGGGGGGATGATGCATTGGCCCATTCATTTCAGTAAAATCGCTCCCGACATGGGTACTGGAGCTGGATCGGAGGATCCGTGGTTTGTCGACAGGGTGTTCCGTGCCCGGGGGGCGTAGGAGCCCAAAAAAAATGCTTTGCCGTCGTGCGCCTCTTTACTTTAGGCAAATAATTTAAACATTAATAATATAATAATAATAATTATAATATAATACATGTTACAATAAGATATTATTAGATGTAATTATTATATATGGTTTAGTCTAGATCGTGTTGTTGAAGAAAAAAAACAAAGTACGTATAAGCGAACAAAAAAAAAGAGAACAAAGATAAAGATATGAAAAGTATAACGACGACGATGATGAGAGTAAGGGAGAGAGAGAGCGCGCGAGAGAGAGAAAAAATAGAAAATCAAGGAAAAGTGGCGATGAGAGGAATAAAAATTCGGTCTAAGACCACAATATCTTGCGGCGGACTGAGCGGGACACAAACGAGAGAATCCGCTTTTGCTTCATTCTGTGCGCGTGGTACATCGATCTTTTATTTCTTTCTCTTTTATACATATTTTTTTTTTTTTTTTTTTTCTTGAAACGCGTCATATTTAGAGATACATACATCTTCAGTGATCCTTTTACGTACGAAACCGTATTTTTCTTTTCTTCTTTGTTTTCTTTTCGCAACGTTTCCGGTTACGCGGATGGATTTGCGGCTATATTGTATTCCCTCGTTTCGGCGACGCCATCGTTTTCTTCTCACTTGTATTACGCCCGCGGATTCATAGGAAAAGACAATCCTCGGTAAACGAGTCGCAAATCTTTTCGTGTTCTGCAAACGGGTAACCTCGCCAAAAACAACGCAATCGTCGCAAAACTGGTTTTTCGGGTGAATCGGCGTAAAAGAGCGGGAGAAAAAGTGAAATGTGTGAATGTGGGCGAGAGATCGTGTGTTTTAATATAACGGATTCTTCGCTTTTCTGTTGCCGCGATCGAACACAATAATAATTGGCAGTAAAATATTCGAGTTGAAAAAATAAAATCAAAATTCTGGGAATTGAGGAGGAGATAAAAAAGAAAACAAATACTTAAAATAACAAAGAACAGTGTCACGAGAATTCTGTGAAACGTCGCCCCTGCACAGCCCGCCACATCACAACAGAATCATTGAATGATTAAAATATAAACAAAAAAAAAAATGAATGATGTTTTATTAATATTGTACATATTTTAAATAACTGCAGACGGACAAACGGATCGCGCATGAACGGTGACCCACGAGAAGGTGGTCTGTTTAAATGGTCCGCCTTTTCCATACGGGTTTCATACTCTTTTTCTGTTTTTCGTTTTAGCGCCGCATATATGATACACACCCCACACACATACACACCACACACGCTGAGAGACACGTGCGAACATAGAGAGAGATATACACACGTACACGCTCAGAGATAAATGAAAAGAAAATGTACACCGCTCTACCAAACAATCTCTTCTGATTGACGATTCCTTTCATATTGATTATTCTGTAAGTTCTGTTTTCACACGTGAATTACATTAAGGAAGAAACGAGAGACATTGTCCAACCCAAGTGTCATTACTTTTGATGTTAAATAAAAAATACATAATTAATAAAGCACTCTTTATCCTACCTTCCTGACTGGTACTTTCAGCACACAGGCGTAAACATTTGTTACAGGACAGGCGCGACTAAATGAATGGAAGAGAGCTTACTTTAACTATCATAGTATTTATTACACTTATATACATCTGTAATTATTCCAGCCATGTTTAATTTGTATAAATTTTAATTTCACATATACCTTGTTCTTTTATTCAGAGTCTGCTGATGCTAACTTTCGTCTGTCCCTTTGTTGATTCTTCTTGCGCAATCGTTGTATATGTTTCTTTAATTTGCCTGAATTCTTCAATTCTTCATATTGAGAAATTAAGTCCAAAACTCGTTTTTCAGCTGTAAGGAAAGAATAATAGAGTTACTATAAAATACACATTATAGAGCTACAGTTATTAATATCTTATATGTCTACTTACACTTCTTTCTGTATACTGGTTTTTCACCACGTCTGATGGCTTCTATAATCTCTTTCTTTTCTGCATACTCTTTTTGTTCTTTCATATTTCTTCTTTTTTCCTCACGTAATTGATTTTCCAATCTCTGTATAAGGTATTTGATCTTCTTTATCTCTTTTGGGTCTCTACTCTCAACCAATTTCTTTTTTAATTCTTTAATATCATTCTCTTTTATATCATTAATGAACATATAATTTCTTTTAAATTTCTTCGGATCATATATGCCACATAGATTATCGAATCGAGGGTCTCTTGGAACATAATTCTTTACCTGCACCACTTCTCTGAATCGTGAAACAGGCTTCTTTGAAGATATTTCACGCGGTCTGTTTTTATTTTCTCGTTTAAATTCAGTTTTCTTGTTAACCTTCCGTGGACCAAACAATGCTTCCTTATATATTTTACAACCTAATTTCTCTTTTAGCTTTTGCAGATCTTCGAAACTCATTTGTGAGAGCTCTTTCCTAATTTCATCCTAATTAGTAAAAATTTATTCAATTATTAAAATTTCCCATGGTTTTAAAAGTAGTTCTGACTTTTCCTCAATATAAATATAACCTATTCCATTTACAATAAATTAACCTACATTATGTTCGTTACGAAAATAGGAAAGAAATATCATATATGAATATCTACCTGATCTTTATCTTCGTTAAGAAGAGTATCTTCCTCATCACTCATGTTAAATAACGAGGAATATTGAACAAGAAAACAATCGTTCTGTTTGATTCACAATATATTTAGGAAACCGACATTTTATTTCGTAGGTATGGTTTCATATTATGACGGTAGATGATGCTACATCATCATCCCAGTCTGTGCTGACCTCTAATCTGAAATTATCAATTGCAAAATTGTTTAAAAAGGATAAAATTACTTAATATTCTTTTTTACGAAACATAGATTGCGTAGTTCAGTAACCTAAGATAATATATACTACAAAAGATCTTAATATGATATTCTGTGAGAATGTTTTGAATCCACATGTTTCTAACGATTTGGGAAAAAACAGTTATATTGAACTTTTTCAATCATGTAAAATGTGTAATTAAAAGAATAATAACACGAGATACTTTTAGATGAAAAATCATATTCTAAAGTATGCATTGCACTCAGTAGATATGTAAATTCATATACGTAATCTTTCATATTCGATGGTAATTTTCTGCAGATTTTCTAGTGATTGCGCAACATTATGAAATCCCTAATTTTACGTAACGCGTTATATCAATGTCGAGACTTATTGCTATACATATATCACGATAGGACTAGCTTGAACTGCGTAAAAGGATATATAATTGTGCTGCGTAAAATCTGTAAACCTGTATAGTGGCTCCCTCTGCCTAATTGTTATCGAGCTTTCAAGGTTATCTGAGTTTTAAATCTAATAAACATCATTACTTCCTAATTGTATTGGTGTTTTGCTACAAATCCAAAATGCTGCTTTGTAGTTCACTATCACGATTCTATTACCAATACAACTTCACAAAACATAGATATTTCAAACCGAAATACATAGTTTCTATTACATAAAGAATAAAATATTTAAGATTCTCACTATAAGAAAATAAATTATTGCAAATAATACATTTTCGGAAAATGTTAATTTTCTACTTTAAGGTAAAACTTTGTAAAAATAACCTTTGGCATGGTCCACAAGACTTATTAATATTTATAAAAATTAAATATTGACATTTCTTACGCTGTATGTAGTTCTTTCATACTTTATAAATTTCTAATAACGAAAATCACACATTTCTGAATTGCATTCTCGGATGTAAATTTCACATTCCTTACGAGGGGGCAGCACTATCAGAAGTGTCTAAAATGGCGGGTGTGCTGTTCGAGGATATTTTCAACGTAAAAGACATCGATCCAGAAGGGAAAAAATTCGACAGGGGTAAGTCTGAAACACATTTTAAGCTCTTATCTATTTATGGCCACTGTTGCGAAGAAATACGTTCCGTTGTTGCTGCATTTTTAAGCGTTAGAAAAACAACGTTCCATCGATGCTCGTTCTTTACGGACGTTGCCGGGAAGCACATGGCGTGACAGTATAATTTAAATAGTAATTTCTGTAGACGAATATGTAAAGAATCTAATATGTCTAATTGACACAAGTTCAAAGTGTATATCTCAATATTTATTCATCCATGTATATACTCTATAATTGTTTGGAATAGCCTAAATTATGTTAGTCACTCGTCGACAATTTTGTCTTCTGCAGTGGCGGGTTATTTGAAATGTTATACTGAAAAAAGGTTTTTATGAAATCATATTAATAAATCATATCGGTTTAATATTAGAATACATATGTATTTACGTATCCAAAAAATAATAATTGATATGTAATATTATCTAATGACAGTTTTAATAGTATCAAAAATTTATTATTGTTCATCTAACTTTGTCCATGTCTATAGATATCTTGGTATATTTTAATGTAATAGTTTAGTGATATTAATTCTACAAATCTGTACAGTGATTTACTTTGTATAAAGAGGGCGTAAGGGTCGAGTATGTTTGACTTAATTTGAAAGGCAGCTCTTTGTGACAGAACAGTTATTTTTATCATTTTGAACTCTGATTCGAGATTCGCCACTGATATTTCTTTCTCCCTATACAAATCCATCGTCGAGACAATTTGGAGTATAAACATTGTCTCGATGACACAAGATATTTCATTAAAACCGTTCGTAATCAAGGAACGCTATTGCGTGTTGTTTGTTATTCCATTTATCGCTACCTCTTATCGATCTTCTATTTTACATTGTGTACAGAAAAATTTAATGTTCACTTTTATGCTCGTTTCAACTATTTCCATTGTACTGTAGTATCAGGGGGAAAACCCTAATGTACCCCAGGTAGTAGGAGCAATATAAGTGCGGACGGATGAGCCATATACCCGTGGTCGCTTACGATACGGGAGTAATTAAGAAAGGTGTGCTTGACCATGGGTCATCCACATCTGTGTGCATACCAAAATGTAATATAAAAGGTAGCCGTGAACAGAGTAGAATTGCGAAGAGAGTTGCGAGAGAGTTGCGTTGCGGCAGAGTAATGTAGACAGCAATGTAGAGAGCAGAGTAGAGAATGCAGAGCCAAGAAGTAGCGTAAGACGAGTTGTAAGTTGTGAGTTAAGTTGTATAAGCTGCAGCACATCACTGTATTTAGTTCATTAATCAATTAATCAGTTAATCAAAGTATTTAGTTAATCAATCGTTGTTTCCTGTTTTATAAGAAATAATTTAGAGAGAGAGAAAGATCAAACACCAGAGAGGAGGTGTAAGATAAGATATTTTTTCTACTCTCTATAGTACGAATGTTAAATTTTTTAGAACCTGTTCTAAAATGATTGTGCTCCAGAACAGGGCAAGGGACAATTTGAAATTTTAAACTCACGTGCACTCTCAAGTTTTATGAAACTCAATTTATTTCTATAGGAAGTTTTTGCAGGAAAGGTTATTTAGAAATACTAAAGAATGCGTACCAAATATAAGCTTGAGAAGGAATGCAATAACATACGTAGTAAAATGAATTCATATTCGTAGTTAAATTATATATGATATATGTATTAAAATTAACATAATAGACAAGAAGTAATATTTAGAAATTTCATATAGCGATCCTAAAAATTTACAGATATTTCATTATCTTAAGTCATTCCATATTACTATGTATTAAATACAACAATCTTTTACAATTCGCCAACAATCTTCTGACAGCGACACATTTTTCAACAAAAAGTTACATATAAAATCGATCATCGAACGAATTAAATGTTTCCTAGATGCCAAAGTAATTCGCAGAAACATTACGTCACCCTATACTTTGATGTCTAAATTTTACGTAGTGACCTTGAAAATTCAGAAGAGCACCCTTTTCTCAAAAAGTTCCCTGTATTATACATATACTACATATATACTATCCTTTACTATTCATTCACAAACCCTGGGAAACTTCATCCAATAATATATTTTCTAACCAAATGTCGCAAATAAATCGAACGTATCGCAGACGATGTGCTTCGCAGAAAAAGCGCGGCTTGTATCGCGCGCCACCCTATATTTTCACCTACATTACCGCTGGGAAAGGGTTCCTCTGGAACAGCAGCGTTCGAACACGCGGATGGGTGTTAGTGGGGCTACCTAGGCGTGCGAGCGAGAGAAAAGATGGGATTTCGGTTAGCGGGGAAGAGAAAGGAGTGGAAGGGTGGGGAAAAAGAGCGACGGGACGCTGGGAGCGGTATCGAAGCCAGCTCGCACGATGGAGTAGGAGGAGGCTGGCTCCTGCACGGTAAAAGCACCTTCTCTCCCTTTCCTTCTCTTAACAGTGCATGCTACGTATTCAGTTGCTCCAGAAAACATTCCTCGCGAAAAATGCGACTAATCGGTGCGCTCCACGTGGCTGTAAATCCAGCCTGTCCGGTAAGAAACTTTTACCGCGATAGAACCACTTCGTTCTCGTTTCCACGGGGGTTCCATCGCGATAATTCACATCACCCGTCGCAATCCAGATATCTTAGCCCGTATATCTTCATTCAAGGTATTCAATATCGATGCACGTACGAAATAGAAAGCGACTAGCAGGGGAGGCTTGTAAAACGGCCAACGTGAATATCGTTCCATCGTTCCGATGCGCCTCGCACCCGCGCATCTTCTATATGCGCTACGAGCCTTTTCGAAAAACATACGGATATGGTTGACGGGGACTGGGAACACGGTGGATCACGCGATGCTATCGATATTCAAATATTCCATCAAATCCAATTATATATCCTATATCTTCGCTTCAAATTCTGTAGATGCCCTCGGTATAAACGTCGTATACAATATTCATTCTTATCCATCTTGTACTATGTAGTATTCACGGTCATCATTTACCACGGATATCTACATATAACGATTCCTCTCGACTTTCACCAGAAATGTGGATAGACGTTTATATAGGTATATAGAATGAAAAGGGCGGTGGGACGCGATCTGCCGGCAGCTCGTTGCTTGGTGGTAGTTCGATGGGTGGGACGGGAGGGTCATGACGGGTTTGCCAGGGGGTCGAGGGGTGAAAGACGAGGGGGCTTGGCAGTCTGTGCTGCGGCCGGTCGATGCAGCAACGATGCCCGCAGCCGCAGCAGCTAGCACCGAGCAACATCGCATTCGCGTAATACGACGCGACTCTGGCTGCCGTGGGGAGGTGAAATGGAAGGGAGGGGGGAGCAGCCGGGAC